CTTGCGCAAGAGAGGAAAGGTCGGGCTGCCTGGAGGACTCCGTTCGGCCCGCAGCACCTGCCGGGCTGGGTCGGTGAGCTCAGCTCAGGTGTGTCAGTTTCAGGTTTCCGTGCCGAGTTGCTGGGCCGGGGCCCTCCCTGCACCGTGGCGGCCATTTCGGTCCTGGCAAGGGCGCCAAGGAGGGGGTGGCCAAAGGTTCCCGCGGGGCCTGCGGGCAGAATTCCTCCTTTCTGTTGCGGGGGGGGGAACCCAGCCGGCCAGCTTGGCAAACAGGTTTTAAATGCAGAACTGGGAGGAGGAAGAGAAGGTTATTTTGGGGGTGTTTTGCCAAATGGGGGGCTCTGAAGCGGTGGCAGTGCTGCAAATGTGCCACCCCCCCAGCTTCCCCCTCCCCCACCACCGAACATGCACTCAGGGGCGGATTATCTCTTCCTCCCTCCCAAAGTTCAGGAATCTGGGAATGTGCGTGGGCAAAAAAAGAAGGAAGCGTTCGGCTGTCTATAATGATTAACTTCTGGCGCTCTTTGCCACAAGGTGTGTGGACGGGGAACCCTGAGACCATTTTTTTAAAAGATGGAGGTTTTGGCTCTCTTTATTCTCAGAACGAGCTCTCTTTTTAGGTAGTTAACCTTATGGATCCTCCATGTGCAGAAGCAGCATACCTCTGAGTACCAGAGGGTGATTTCATGGAGGGGCTGCTGCTAATATCCCGCTTGTGGCGTTCCCCAAAGCCCTTATTTGGCTATTCTGGCTCTTAGGATGACAATTTTTTGCTTGGTTTGATCCTTCCAATTCAACTTAAATATATATGTGTATATGCATGTATAGGTATGTATGTGTGCATATATATGTATTTGTGTGTGTGTGTGGAGGCTGTAGACTGGGGGTGAGAGGAAGGCCCAGCTCCTCCTCCTCCAGCCCGTGGCTGAAAAGACTGAAATTTCATGTTGTGTGAACCCAGCTGGCAATTTGTTCCTTTGCACAAGTGAATTGTGTTACACTAGCAATCGGGCAGAGAGGGTTCCAATAACAAGCTGTGGCTTATGGGCTTGGGCGGATGCCTTGGGCTGGTTTCCTATGCTCCCAAGGTGTTGGAGGTGGCTTGTGATCCATGGTATTCTTGCACCTGACACACACACAAGCATTTTACAATGCCTTCCCACACACACACACACGCACACACTTTTTATAACCCAGCAAGGCCCAAAGCTATACCCCTATTTGGTTCCAACTTGGCGTGTTGTGTGAACCTTCCCGTTGTGATTTATGGGCTCTGCTCTGCGGCCGGGCAAAGGCAGGGCCAGTTGAATAAACAAGCCCCATTTGCAGTTTATGGTTTGGAGCCACGTGGTGAGCCCAGCCTGAAAAGGCTGCTGGAGGAGCCCAGTTATGCCATTTTCAAGGCGGACCATGCAAGCCATGTAACCCCTCCCTGACTCTCTGGGGCAACCCCCCCCCCAGCTGAATGGCAGCTCCTTGGCTTCCTGTTTCCAGCCCCACAGCCCCAGACGCTGGTTTGCTTGTGCTGTGCGGTGTGAAGCCAGATCAGCGGCCACATGGGGCTTTCCCCCAGGCTGGATTCACACACCGTGGCTCTTCAGGGTCAAGGTCCAAGTGGAGGTCCCAAGCTTGGTTGGCCCCCCGGCAGGCAGCTTTGCATTGGCTTCTTGAGGCCAGCAGCTCTTTCTGCTTCCGAGGCACCTCTTCCTGGTCTTCACCTTGCTCTCCTGGTGGCCTCCTTTCCACCCTCTGAGGCTGATAGTGACTTCAGTTCCTTTTGCCTCAGGGGCTGCTCCTCCTTTCTCTCCCTTATCTTCGCTTCCCAGCTGTCCTCCAGCAGTAAACGGGAGGAAAAACAAAATATTGTTTCTCCCCTTCTGTCCCTGTTTGGCCGCTTGAAGGCCTCTGCTCCTCCTCCTCCCCTGGCTGAGACGCAGCTGGCCTCCGACCAGAGGATGTTGGACGAAAAGGGCCCCGCGCTTGGCTGGCTCGCCAGCCGTGTCCTGAGCAGCCAGCCAGGAACATGGGAAAAGCAGACGGGATGGCAAAGAGGGGCCGAGTTCGAATCCAGAGTTGCTAGGCCCGTCGTTTTTGCACTCAGATGAAAGTTGAAAGGAAGGCAGGCAGGCAGGCGCTGTCCGGGATCACAGCAAGGTCTGGTTGCCCCCGTGGCCAGCTCTCTGGGGTTGGCATGGACAGGTAGACTGCTTTCCCCATGGAGGCTCCATACAGCTCTCAAGTCTGGCAGCTACTAGTAGATCTCCCCCCCTTTTTTTTTTTTTTGC